CTGCGGGCAGCGGACCGGACTCGGCTCTATGCATAATAGATCGGCTCGCGCCGCGGCCGGCCGCCGCGCGGCCACTGTGTTTGGTTTCCATTCTCGCTGTCTCCCCGCGTGCTCTGTTATTGGGATACAGCGCGCTGTTGTGGACCTGTGTGCGCTGGAACGCTAATATAGCCCGGGAGCCACCGCCGCCGGTGCCAGAGAGCGATGCTGTTGCCGGTCGAATCACTATCACTCAGCGGCTCGATTGCTCTATTGTGGCGCTCATCACACAGAAATGAGCCCAGCTCGGGCGAGCGACAGTCATTTGGTGCTGTGTGTTTTGTCATTGATTTGCTTTCGATTTGTTGAGGTCGATTCGGGCCGACCGCAGCAGGTGTTCAGCTGGCCGTTTTTCCGTGGCTGCCGTCGACTGTGGCGTCTGCCGGGGGCCTCTGGCGACCCGTCGCCGCCGGTGTTGTCGCCACTGCGTCTCTGTCGCGCCCGTCGACCGGAGGGGTGTCTCCGCTGTCGTCCCGTGTCGCACCGATGCACGGGTTGGGCGCTTTTTGTGGCGGTGCCACGTGCCAGATGGCTGGCGCCGCCCCGATCTGGACCCTAATTAGAGGCGCAGTGGCGCCGCTGCTGACAGGGCCGCTGTGTGACCGTGCCCACCATCGGAAGACGCTGAGAGATGAGGGAGATTCGGAGACGCCTGGAGACGCTGCCAGCCGCTCGCGAACCCCCCCTGTCGCCTCCGCTACCTACTCAGAGACACTGGGAGCTGTTAAGTCGGCTTTGGCATTAGAGTAGGCGTTGTGCTTTATTCTGTTGGGTAGAAGGTCGTACCAGCCAGCGGTGTCGAGCACACTCCTGGCCGCCGTCCCATCAGGGACACTGTGGTGCAATGCGGGGCCCTGGGAACACACTGAATAACCATGCCGTTTAGGGATGCATCTGATGTTGCTCATGTGCCGACGACACTAGGCAGGATGGTGGTAAGGCGTTGGGGGGGGGGTGCCCCCCCCCCCATCTGATGTCCTCCGAGTGACAGCCGACGGCCGGTCACTCTCACTCGCTCTCCACTCTGTCTCTCTCGGTCACCGGGCGGGTGCTCCGTTTAGACAAGGACATCGGCAGGCAGCGCTCTCGGCATGCGGGTTTCTTGCGCTGTGCTGGATATAGACCGTACTCGTACCGAGTCGGAGAGGATGTAGGCGGGTCCGTTGGCTGTTATGCTGCGAGGTGTGGTAGCTTCAGGCCTTGGACGTGCCTTTTACGGAGAGTGACAAGAGAGGAGGTCATTTAGTACGGTGCAATGAGAGTAATGTCAAAGGATGGACGGTGTGCCGTAAATACTCGTACGCCAGTGGTTGCTGAAGACGGCTAACTAGTTTCTGCTACGCTGGTGTTTTCGTGCCGTGTTTTATAGTCTGCTCTGGCAGTTCCACAGATAGTGTGGCTACGGCAGCACGTGGGCGCTTTTACTAACCGTGACATATTGCCTCTGTGGGTTTCGTGCGGAACACAGCGGGGCTCGGCGTGGCACCATCTCACACCTCCGTCGGACTGCGGTGCCATTTTCCGGCCGGCTGCCGAGCTGTTCCACAAATGACGGTCATTATCCAATTGGACGCGTGCTGCTGAGGTGAAAATGAGAGGGAAATGGCGGCCGTGAATTGATGGGAGTCAGGATGACTGGGTGCCCGCCGCAGTTACTCGGTTAGTAGTTCGACCAGGGTTTCAGTTTGTGGCCGGGCCAATCCTACATTGACCACTTTCAGGTCAGCATGCGGTAATGTTCCCCCTCTGCATTGGCACGCATATTGTATACCGCCATCGGCCCTAATCGACGCACCTGTTTATTTGGTCGTTAGCTAATAACTGCTCCGAAAGCGCATTGTGATTCAATATTGCCAGCCTGCGCTTCATTCCGACGGGTTATTGTTTTCCATCCGGCGTGCACGATTTTCTACTCTGTATTCAGTGTGCACTAAATCACCGGAGCACGCGGCTTCTGATCACAGCAGCGCGTGCTGCGCACCTGTGCACCGGCACGTGCCCTCCCCTCCCCCCCCCCTGTGCGGCAGCGGTCGCCAACTTTAGACCCGTCCAACGCCGGCGCGCTGTGACGCTCAATTGGGAGCCGCGCGGCGGCTGCATTGTGCCCCTGCCGGCAGTGCAGTGGCGGCCGGGGCGAGAGTGGTGTCGGCTGTGGTGACTGGTGACAAGGTGGTGTAGTGTGCGTGGCACCAGCGGAGGTGTGACCGTTGGAGCTGGTTGCGGTCCAGAGACGGTTTATTAGTCGGTGTCATCTGACCTGATATTGGTCGGTGTCACCTGACCTGACCTGACCCGGCGGGGGTAGCGGCGGTAGTGGACCCCGCTCCGATATGGGGGTGGTGACCGTGGAGCACAACCTGAAGCTGCGTGAGCGGCGCTTCGCCACACCCCACCAGACGCTGCTGTATGAGCCCATCAGCACGGAGGGCAAACAGCGGAAGGTAGGATCCGCCGCGGGCTGATGGGTCCTTCACTCCTCACTGTGCCGTATAGTGGAGAGACGGTGAGAGCAGTGAATAGGACGCTGATCACTCGTGCAATACGCGCACCTAAAAACTAATGGCGTCATCACCCGATGGAGATGTTAGGAAGTAAGCAGCTAAATTGGGGACAGGTCAGTGGTCATTTGATGGGTCATTTGATGAAGCATTCAGTAAATCGAAACGCTGGGCGAATGACCGAAGGACTGATCTAGCTATTTTGGATTCCCTTCTTTCAACGTTGGTCGCCGACGAGCTTTGCCTTTTACGCGCCGTAAGGGCCAAATCTGTACGTACACCCTTGAGCTTAAATGTTTTTCATTGTAAAATAGCCAATCGCGCGTTCGTAGGGAAGGTATTGCCCGAACCTTTTTTTGTCGCTGGTTTGTCATTACATGCTTCTCCAAAGGAAAAAGAATAGCGCTAGTTGAAAGGATATTTTCCAACAAAGATAAAAACTCACCTTTTTGCCAATTGAACTCTCCTGTTCCTGTCCATGTCCGGCCGTCTGATATTGCGGGGAGACCATTAGGTCCGTCGGCCGACCACTCGCTGACACTGATTGCCAATAAGTTGCAGCTCCGAATGGGCCCCGGCTGATTGCTCAGTTTCATCCAGCGTCAGTTACTTAGCTGATAATGGCTGTGACGACCGTTGATGGCATTGCTAGGCGAGACAGTTTGTAATTTGTTAATGTTGGTTTCCCGTGCGGATCGTGAAATTCCAGATGTGACAATGCAATTTTACTAATAGCGTCGTTTTAATGTGGCTACGTCCTGTGGTTTGGCGTTTGACTTTGGTCTACATTGTCACCAGTGCACTGAATCATGCTTTATGACTCCTGAGATATCTTTTGTGCTGTGCACTATCAAACTGTAGATTAAGAAAATCCTGCCGGTATGCAACTGCACTTTATTTGATAACCAGTCGCTTTCTGATGCTATTTCTAGCGGGCGGAGTCGCCCCATTATCAGGCCATTGCGGGGTGACTCCGGGTTTTCAACTGCGGTCGCGGGCTGCGTGGGTCGCGTGTGGTGTCCCATTACTGGGCTGCGCCGTCAGTTCGGTCAGACCCATCACATTTGTCGGCTTCTGCCGTCACTGGTATCATTGCAGCGCCACGGAGACCTGGAAATCGATCGGTACCGTGTGTTTGGAACGATTACAGACCGCAGCAGGGCGCTAATTTGCGTCGTGTTACGGTGCGATCAGCCGCCGCCTTAGCGCTGTTTCGCGCGGCGGATTGCGAGTTCCAGGGAGAGGTAGGTGGTAGCGGTCGGTTAGAAGGGGTTAGAGGGGTTTAGAAGTGTCACTCAGGTGTACGATGGATGGATCAAGTGGACGGTGCAAGGGTGGAAAATCCAGCCGATTGTCTGCCAGGTTAGGTGAAAGGCAGACCGCGCTGCGTCCTTAGAACTTTCCGTCGTGGTCGTGACCGGGTCATATCTGTGGAATGTAGGCAATGTCTCACCGCAGGTATAGACGCTGGTGTAGACTTTTCCTGCGGGTATTGCTTGTCATTTTTCTTAGAGGCATCTGCCCGACTTCTCGGCGTGCCATCTAATAAGCAGTGTGCTGGTGTATATGATTTCAACCCCGATTTGCATACGATTTTATCGCGTCGCGTCCGTGCATATGGCTGGACACATGCTATGCATCTGTCGTGCCTTGGAATGGTAACATCTCCGGGTTGCGACACGGCGGGTGCGTTCGACATGGCGCAGGGACGGTCGGCCGGGGCCCGAGGGTGTGTTCGTCACTGAACAATGTGGGCCGGAACAGGTGTGGCTTATCTGCACCGCGCTGCCGGGGCTGGGGTGAATGTCGGGCTGTGCTGTTGGGGTGAATGCCGGGGTGCCCTGCTGAGGGACACATCTCTATTGGTTGGTCTTGTCTGTCTGCCTGTCTGTCCGCCTGCCTGTTCTTATGGCCGTCTGCTTGTCGTTGTGCGTTTCCGTTGTGATAGAAAAGGTACTAGCGGACTGTAGTCCTGCGTATATCCGGCGAGATGCGATCACCAGGTGATAAGCGACCACGAAATGACTCGCTGGCCCCGCGCAGCATCATCGCCCCATCCCATTCCGAACCGATACCATCACATCACACCACATCACTACATCACGCAGGCCTTACACATCAGCGCAGTGCACCGTCATCACAGAACCCTCTCTGTTCCATCAGCGCCCTGCTAGATGTCGTGCCACGGCCAAGAGATTATGGCACAGCTGTGTCACTGTGTCGTGTCCTCCGGATGACACGCAGCTGCGTCCGTGTGTCATATCGGTGTCAGGCTCCCGTGTGGTGTCAGTGTCTGTGTCTGTGTCGATTGGTGACTGTGGGATATACCCCCTGCTCCCCATCATCCCTAGATGGTATTGTTCTGTCCATTTCCGATTCCTCTTTACGTCGACTGTCCCACCGTTTTGTCCACCGCTCAATGTCAAGTGTCATGCCACTGACTGTGTTTTTGTGTCGTTTCAGCGTTTTATGAACAATGGCGGTCTGCAGCTGTTAACCCAGCAGCAGTACCTGGCCGCTCAGCAGCAGGGACAGCTGCCAGCAGGTGAGAGGACCGGAGGAGACGGGGAGAGGGTGGGAGGACCGTTCAGCACACACACAGTGCGGGTACAGTGCGCGGGGAGGAACATTGATACCTTTTGGCGGATGGGCGACGAAGGGAAACGATTGCTAATATGTATCCAATTCAATGAAAAATTCCAAGTCGTTTCAACAGAATAGAGCATGTCTGGTCGATTCTGGCAGTTGGGAGTAGCTCAGTCAACACTGAGCAATAAGAATGAAGTTGTAGCCGCGATAACTCGGATGCTGATATTTACACAGCAGCCAGTCGTCACTCGCCCGTATCACTGAACTCGGCCGCGACCAAACATTGTTTTTTACTACGACGGCCGCATTGAGCAGTCTGAAAACTTTCCTCCAAATGGCGGCTCACATTGGATCTAAAGTGCCTCCGCCAGGGTGCTCCAAAAGGCCAAGTTTCCGGCGGTTTTCGCCATAAACTCAAAGTTGCCTTCAAGACCAATCAGGCGGCGCTGGGCGAGCGGAGGCTGCCGACCGGCCGCCGGGGGACCTGATAGAGTGCTCCTGAGAGGCGTGACCTGCAGCCGGCCGGTCCGATTGTGGGAGGGGGCCGCTCGGAGGTACTGCGCCGGCCCGGCGGCTCCAGCAGCTCGGCCGGCCAAGAATAGAGTCGCAGCTCTCTGCAATCCGCGCCTGGGCTGGGCTGGTCAATGAAGGACAGAGATGTAGGATGATAGTGGGGAATGGGGTAGGAATTTGGATGGATCTTGATGGAGATGTGGATGCTGATGAGGACGGTCTTGATCGATTGAGGGGGGGGGAGTCTAATGTCCTTAGCACAGAAAATAGATGGGGAACCACGTCTCGTTTTGTTTTTGGTTCTATGGTGCAGGTCATGCGCTTTCATGTAATGTATATTGCACATTGCTGTCTCATGTCGTACAGCAAGCAGGCAGCTGCAGCAGAGCGCTCTTTGATCCCTCTGATTGAAGCGAATTCAATATGGAACGGCTGCTGTTGCGAGGCGGCGGATTCGTCGGCTGGGGGCTGACACGCCGGCCGGACCCGCCTGGTGCATTGGTGATCAGGGCGGTCGTGCTGGACCCATCTCCTGGGCGGAGATCGCGGCCGGTCGGTCGTGTCACGTGCGTCTCCATCGGCCCGGCGCGCGTATTTTGAATTCACCATAGGGCTCAGCCATTCCTAGAGGAATTCTAGGCACCTTGGAAAAAAGCGAAATCGCGCTAGGGATTTCAGCCGATCTGGCAGCTCTTCCGATGCCACTGGCGCGCCTTTTAATCCAAAGCGCCCAAGGCCCTATATACCAGGTAGGGTCGTCCGGCGATTCTACCTTTTCGTGACGTCAGCTCGTGACGTCATTTGGAGTCAAGTCTCGAAGCCCCGTTCAATCCCCATGTAAATGAGCGATTTTCGAAGCACTGTAGAATGAAGTCTGCACAAGATATATCAAACCTAAGTATCTTATCTGGAAGAGCAGACAATTTTCTGCAAGTTATCTATTACGTGTTTTTCGCTAAAACTTTTGCTTTTTTCACAAAAGCGTAAAATGTCCCCCCATGTCTCCGCAGCCTCCCTGCCGCCGGCCGCCGCGCGGTCGCGGTAGTGTAGTGGTTAGCGTGCCCGCGCAGCATTCCAAAGGTCCCGAGTTCGAATCTATGCGGCGCGGAACTTTAATTGCAATTCCAAGCTGAATATACGCACATCCATAATAAATATATTATTCGTATAGCTAAACTGTCACCAAGCTATCCATATAAATTGACTTCACCCAAAATATCGGCAAGATTCTATTAAAATATAAATTCAAATATAGCGGCTTGGACTGCCGCGTGCGTTAGGCTCCGCCCATAGCTCCGCCCACATGCGTGACGTCATTCGTGTTAGTGGACACACGCGGAGATAGGGGACGACATGGGCCTGAAAGCGCCTTTTTCGTGTCTCATGTTTGCTCGTTTATTGCGGAGGCCTATATATGCTTCAAGATGCTGGAAAAGGTTGGTGATTAATAAGTATTTCCATTTTAGGTGCATGTTCTTTGCAAGAAATACAGTTGTTGTTGCTGTTGTTGTGGGTTAGGGCGCAAGAAATACAGGTATATGTCAAGTTTAGGTCCTAACTATAACTGTGACGCTGTTGATACAAATCTGTAACAGCAAAAAAATTATGTTTTAGGTTACGTTAGGCTGTAAGTTTTAGGTTGCATTGTAGGTTTGTAGGTAGTAGATTGGTAGGTTATAGGTGAAAAGGTAAGGTTAGTTCAGGTTTGATTATGTTTTTCTTTTAGTTACGAGACATATAAGTATCATTTTTGGATTCAGGATGTCAAATAATGGTCGGAAACACTAAATTCAAAATTAACTAATTTTGAAGCGGGGACCTCCATGTGTACCGGCCAAATAATGTAAGAATATGAAAAAATTATCCATGAAATCTGCTTAGGACTTAAACTTGACATTTACCCACATGGCTATAGGTATCACCAGCAGAATTATAATCTTTACATAGGTAATTTTTAAGAAATGCTGTAAGTGAAGATTATGAGTCGTGTAACCATTGTTACTATATTGATATTAAATATTGAATAGGTACAAGTCCGCCACTAACTTTATGGAACATTCCTTCTTCCAACAGGATCACTTCCAAGTAATCTGGAAGGCTGATGCCAAGTACATCTTGTGCGAGAAGCTTGATATGATTCCTGACCTGGAACCGGTGAGCATCAAATATAGCAATTTGCTTAAAGCAATAGCAATTGCCGATGATGGCAATTTCAATTTGCAGTAACACATATTATATGTAATTGGTTTGAGCCATGTTGCAATCATTTCATGAATGAAAACTTCCATTTTTAAAATGGAACTATCAACTTTCCCCACAGGCTTCGGTAACAAAGTTTTATCAATTGTGAATGACAATATTATTGGTATGAGTGGTGTGTGCGGTGATCTGTATTTGAATATAACGCGTCTTGTCACTAAGTATTTGTCATCTGCATTATAGCTGACTATTACGGTAATACGATCGTGCATTGGTCCCAGACAAGAATACCCCAGTGAGACCTTGCATTATTTCGTTTCAGGAGTTGATGGAGGGCACCACTGTGGCCTACCGATGTCCGGCGTCAAAGGAATCGGCCCTGCAGTGGATTCAGCTGTACCAAGAGGCCGCCAACATCACCCTGACGACGTACGACTCCATGTCGAATGGCCAAAGGGTGGTGTACTGGGTGAGAGCTTTAGTTTATGAAATACCAGTTTGGGCTCGCCGTGTAAAGCTCGGCAGGGGGGTACTTTTGCCCGAGCACTCGACCTGGGCCCGCCAATGGAAAATTCTGCTGGTGCAGAGCCTCCTGAGGGTTCAGCAAAGACCCGCCGTATGAAAGCCTGTCGGGGTCTACTGACAGAGGGCCCGGCGGCCTGGGCTGGCTGCATGAATCCCCAGCTTGATGCCGCGTACTGAGGACCAGTCATCCAGCCGTCATACCGGGTGTCTCGGAGGACTGGACGGGCACCTACCAGCGGGCCCGCTAGATTTCGGGAGGGTCAGCTGACCCCTTTGTCCCCCTGACTCCTCCCTGGGTGCGCCACTGCACCCAGTAACTTTTACTCTTTTATATCGCAGGAAGGTGCGGGTTAATGAAACACCATGATCAGGGTCAGTTAAAAAGGTAACGTTTTTAAATCGAGAAACTTTCATCCTCATTTAAATGACGGACTAATGAGTGGCAATTGATTTCATCACTTTTGTTAATGTTGTCAATTTTTTTTTTTTCAGGCCAGGCTTCGTTGTCACCACGACGTCCCAGAAAAGCCGAGTCGTCCGAGGAAAAACCAATCCGCCAAGGACACCGGGTGCCCCCTGCGCCTGAAAGTGACTGTCGCCAACATTCCAAAACGGCAAGTTTCTCACCGTCTTTTGTCATTGGCACCTTTTACCAGGGCTGCGGAGTCGACCCAACTTTAGCCAACTCCGACTCCGACTCCGGCCTCACAAAATCGGCTCTGACTCCGACTCCGACCTATTAGTTCTGGAAAGCATTTATTTGGTCCTTTGGTTCACCGAACCAGTGCAGAGACGTGAACTTCGGGAGAAAAGAAAAGGCTGATCAAAATCGTAGGTCGATTTTGTTGTCTGACCACTTTGGATCATCGGGATAATTGCCATTTTGCTTTCACCAGACAACAATTTCACTTGATGAAAGGCGATTTTCGGACTACATGGCCGGAGTCGGTAAAATCTTATCGACTCTGGCCAAGAAAAAAGATCGACTCCGACTCCGACCAAAACTGTTGACTCCGACCGACTCCGACTCCGACTCCGCAGCCCTGCTTTTTACAAACGCCTTAGTTGATCAAACGATCAACCGCAATTGAAAAAAAAACTACATATTTGATGAAGGAGTTCGCTGCCGAAAAGATTTCAAGTCGCTATCTTTCTTAGTTGTGCCAATCTTGGCTCAGAAAACTAAAAACGGTGATAATCCGAAACATTTCACCTCGCTCGTTCCTTGCCTCAAAAGGTTTCTTGCTGGTACCCTATAAAAGTGCGTGGAAGGAGCGGAATTTCTTCTGAATAACACCATCGTCTCGTGTTTTTTTATATTTGTTGACGAATCCTCCCTTTCCAGGAATAGGTCTACAGACCCATGCGCGGCTTACGAGCTACGGGTGACATGTAACAAGAAGCCCCACAACCACGCCGTGGACAACGCTGCCGCTCTGAGACATCGACGCGTCTCTGAGCTGACGAAGGCCCGGCTGATGGAGCTGTTCCAGCACCACCACTCGCCCTCCACGGCGCTGGAGACCCTGAAACTACAGCTTCAGGAGGAGCATGGGAGCGCCTACCCGTCGGTGGCCGCAGACCGAGCCATTGTCCCAGATCGGATGGCCGTCTACTAGTAAGTTTTTAACAGCTTGATGCAAAGCCACACTGCCACAAGTTAGCAAGTCTGTAGGGACAGTATCTGAAATAATAAGACTTTCCCTATAAAGTTACACA